GTGAAGGTAAGAAAGTGAGTTTTCACGGATTGAATACTTAAGTAAATGGCAAAAGATTAGTTGATCAATTATTGGGGCCTGTCGTGTTTGAAATTCTCAGATAACATAAATTTGCACGGAAAAACCATCCATGAGATTTTTTAGTGGAAAGCCATTAAAAACGGTCAGTAATAAGTCTGGTATTTAAAAATGTAATTTATACGACATTATTACATAGCTGCTTTTCATAAATGACGGATGTAAAGTATATCTCACATAACGTTTAACACGTTAGTGTCGTTTGAAAGGAGCATATGGCAATTCTGGCACAGAAAGGTTATTATGCAAATTAGCAAATTTGCATAATGTTTATTTCTGAAAACTTGACAAGAATTTCAATTTAAAATCGCTTCAATATCCCTTGCTTGATAATTTTGACAATTTTGTTGTCACATACCTACAATATGTTGTATTTTTTCGTCACAGGACAATTGATAATAAAATTAAATGTAAAATATGCACACAAGTGTAGTTTACGATTGATTGTTGTATCAAAACATCTTTCAATACAAACTTGTTCTATTCATTTTTATCTTCCGAAAAAGATGTTTTAATTGAAATCAGATCAAACTTGTATAAGACGTTTTCTGTAATGATTTTTGACCCACAAAAGGATGTTTTGGGGCACAAATCATGTTCCTTTTAGGAATCAAATTAGGTAATCGCATTTTTGTGAAGCTTCCATATCTAGTTTTATGAATTCTTACAACCCCCAAACAACGTGAGACTTTATAAAATTATACTGTGTTTGTGCAATATGAACGTGTTCTGTCGATGGTGACATTGCCTTTCTTATAAGTACGAGAAGGTACTCTGTAGGAGCATCGTTTGAATGACGATAAAAGTGTGTCTTCCGTGGTTGACGAATAACACCTTGAACGCTTCGATGACGTTGTGGTCATCACAATCCTCTTGTTCGGAGAACTCACATGGAAGTGTTTCTTTTCACGGCTTCGACAAAGAAGAGCTAGATTTCTTCTGAAATTCTCCCCAGCGTAAGTATAAATAATTGGGTTCAAGCAACTGTTGGCGTAGCTCAGACACAGACTAAAGTAGAATGCGATGAGAAATGGCATGGTGATATTATAATTATTGAATCTTTCAAAAAGTCGAAGGATGTGTACGACCCAAAACGGCAACCAACACACGATGAACAACAAGACAACGAGAAGCACCATGATGGTTACTCGATGCGATCTGTGTGGCCTTTTGTTTAGTATGTTGTCACGGCAGTTGAGTTGAGTGAGGTGTATAACGATGCTTGCATAACAGACAGAGATAATAGCGAGTGGAACGCAGAAACCTGTGACGAAACCGTATTGGATGAATACGCTCTGTGGCATCCATTCAGGTGCTGCCACCTCGCAGAGCGTGATACCGTAGAACTCTATCGTGACGGCACTCACCCAGAGAGGTACTGTAACAAGGAAAGCTAGGACCCAGATCAAAACACAGGTCATCCGCGCCGCTTTTATTGTACGATATTTCCTAGACCTCAAACCATGGACTACTGCTAAATATCGGTCAAACGATAGTGCCACGAGGGTAAAAATGCCTGCAAACATATTCAAACCATCAACACCGTGCACTAGTTTACAAACAGCCTCGCCCATTATCCAATTGCTACCAGAGTTTGTGTATGCAAGAAACGGTAACATGACTACGAACAAGAAATCCGCCGAGGCCAAGTTAAGAATATAAACGTTGGCAACTGTTTTGATTTTTGACCGTCGCAGTAACACGTAAATAACCAGAGCGTTGCCGATCAGTCCAGAGAAGCAGATGATACCGAAGATAACTGGAAGAATGGTGTTGAACAGCAGTGGGGATACTTGCCCAGCAATTCCAGGAATGTAATACGATCCGGTACTTTCGTTGAACGTGCTGTTGCCGCCTGTAACCATGGTAAATCTAGTTCGTAAAACTTGCAGATTTGTAGTCTCGCGTGCGTTGTTGTATTATATAAATGCACAATGTGATCGAGTAATGTTGAAACTAATACCGCTACGTACACAGCGCATCTAGGAGTGTGGATGACAACGCAGTGGGTGCTCTTATTAACTTGACGTGTGCTATGAAGTAAATTATATCTAAACTAACACAAACAAAATGATTAAAGGTCAAAGTACCTGTAAACGAACGCATAAATCTCGGAATGCGCTGAATGCAAGTATATGCTTGTATAAACAATACAGCTCCTTGAACTACTTCCTTTGTGAATAGCCTCTGATATGCACATATTTGCACAAGAATTTAAAACATCTTTCAGTTGTATCTTGGTGTCATCAGATTCATTTGATTATTCTGAGATATATCAAAAATTAATATACAGTGTATTACTATACATATATAAATAATTATATTTTGTGATTTCCCTTAGAATACACGGGTCTCATCTGAATTGGATGTTTATTTAGACGGCAGTAGAACACAGAGCAACCTAACTACGTCATTATACACGCAGAACGCGATGCGCGGGCATTATAAATTAAATCAACTACCTCATACATTCTGGTAATTTTCGAGATAGCCTCGAATTTTGCATATACGCCTGCACATAATTCTTCATTCTAATCAAAGAATATATCATCCCTCATTTGAGCTATTCAGTTGTGTAACACATTGTTGCCATGACAATCTAACTGAAACATAGTCTATACGATATATGAATAAACAACAGGAAAAGGTAGCTTTCTTTAAATCCTGACTATTACTTCTTTTGGTGAAAGTTACTAAAAATTCTGAAAGATTATTTTAAGTGAATCCTTGTTGTTTTGTAGGATCATATTTTAATATACTATATATTGGATTCCCAGGCAGAGCTTTGACCTTACACTCGCAGATCTCGCGGGATCTTACTCAATGTTTACATGAGCAGTACAATTCTGAATTTGTGTATTGAAAACCACATAGACACAGACGTACAATAAAATTATATTGAGTATTTGTTAGTTTGATATCGAATATCATTTTAGGACTATTAATGATACCGATTAACGAGATCACGTGGCACCAACGCTGGAGTGCAATTAATACAATTATTCTTGTCTCTGGTCATATTACATTTTTATTATGAATCACCATCGTTATTGTACGCCCAGAAGCAACGATCACGTCATTCATTCATTACCTTGGCGACAGTAGAAAAAAATCATACACCTCAATGATATGTGGCGTTCAGATGGGGGATAATTACCGAGACGTCACGATTTCCGCCGATTCATATTGATTTAGCATTCTCATTAATCGTTATACCTAGAAATGTAAGAATACAAGATCCATCAACGTCCGTAATGCACCATTTGTAGGAGTGTGGTGCGCCTGATAGTAGATCTGATTACGTCAACAACTTTTAACCTGGTTCCAAGTCGGTTTATGATTGCGCTGTACACGTCAGTCGGAAATTTCCCTGCAATGCGGTGGATTATTAGACAGATATTTAGCGTTGATTTCAGTGATTATTGCACAACTGGTTACGAGCGAGGCAGATGATTGATTACCTACTCGGACAAAACTATCACGTTATAGTTAATTTGAGAATCTTAATCTTAATTTGAGAATGCATAACACTAGATGAAATACGCCGTGTGAATACATCTTTCAGTAGCTAGACCCAGAAGAATAAAATAATAGCATGTTCTTTTCCTAGCTTGTCTTGTAATACATATACTAATAATATTAATGTGTTGTATCTGTTGACTTATATTTTGATGGTATCCAGAATGCAATGTGTCAATTACTACCAACATAGACAGCGAAGCACAAGGGAAAGACGTGTGTTTTTGATTCGCACAGCATTTACTTGCTTCACTTCCTATGTTATCAGTTACTACGTAGATGATGCTGCTGCAAATATAACAGAAACAACATAATAGTGAATATTGGCTGTACGTGATGACTGAAAATAATTTGTAATCATTATAAATTGATTGTTCCCGTAGCTGTTACTTAGTATGCATTGTTAACTGTTGGTCAGTATGACTTATTCGTGGCCCCTAGGCATATCATCCTGATACATTGATAGTGAATTTTGTACCTCAGACAGTACAAGGAAGTGTGAATTGTTGGTGGTTATACACCAGTCCTGTTGCCAAATGATGATACTACATTACAGACAGGTGCTTAGAGTGAGCCTGAAATGAGTGTATTGGCGTCGCACAATTCACTATTCTATCTGCTCAATAAGTCATTAGCAGCTATTTACCGATGCGCTTAAGGTCGGTCTCCATCACTACTCAGAAATAATTTGTGCGTTGAAGCAAATAACCCGTTCGTCAATATTGAATGTAGCTAGTAACATGCATGTCTCACTTTTCTAACTGCGTAAACTACAATGTAAATAATGATGAAAGATTAATTGATTAGATGTCCTTCGTCCCACCAATTGTCTCAGTGACACGTGTTGAAACTTCGCGAAAACAGTTCATTGCATATCAACAGTTAAATAAATCAAATGTTGGTTCTTAACGTTCGTACCATGGCACAAATGTACGAACACGATATAAGAGTTCTGTTGTTGTTGTTTTTTATCTGAACGACTTTTAATTAACTAACATTCAAACAAATCTGATCCATAGTTCAAGCATTGAAAACAAGAACTAATTAGTCTCGATGTATACTTCATTTTTCGTTCATCTTCAATATTCAAAGAAAGTCCGATGTTTTTCATGTGATAAGGGGATGATTTGTGTTAACGAAATAAATATTAAACTGATAGTTGAATCTCTGTAACATAATAACACTTGAAATTCACGTTAAAAATATTTACCCAGAGGAAATATTTTAATATAAATTTTTTGTGACTGTCAGTAGTTGTCAAGGGGAAATACTCATTGCATTTATATATATATATATATATTGCATTTGGCATACCACAGTCGGTACGTACGTTCCCGTTCCTCTCATACTCGTATATTCATGTACGTCTGTGGTAGCGTGTCATTGTTGACAAACAAGCATCCACCTATGAGCCTTTGCGTGCGCAGGTGATGACCCCTCCGCTTTAATGTGTTAGACTAGAAAATTTTTAACACGTTGATCAACGTTGTATTAAAGCGGGGGAGTCGTCACCTGCACATGAGCCAGATGGCCATAGCGTGTCATTGTTTACAAACAAGCGTCTACCCGTGAGCCTTTGCGTTTTAGCGTGTGCTGTTATCGTCGCTTGGGACTCAATTCCCGCGCTTGCGCAGGTGACAACGCTCCCCCTTTAACTGAAATTGCAAGTCGCTTAAACAAATACGTATAAACCTACGCAAAACTGCTTAAAATACATACAATACTATGTGCACATACAATTATAGGTAAGGATCGTTATTCATCATCAGCGACACGTTCACATGACAATGCCCATTGACACGGACACAGGCCGGTAAGCTGATTGGTAATCCGTTCCATTCAAAAAATAATAATTTTTCTCGGGTGGTATTTTTTTTTCAAAATTTGTCAACCTAACTATTGTTCAGGTGTGACCAGTCTGTCAAATTTGAAACTTCTATAGAGATTTATTAACACCGCTGAAGTCGAATGTAAGTAACGATTTTGGCTATCACTGAATGCGCGTCTTGTGCATGTCAATCTAGTAAAAGTACCGGCGTCAACTCAAAAACAAAACAGTAATTCCAAGCACACATACAATTAGAGTAAACAATTTTAGAATGAGATATGTGCGAAATTTAGATTCACAGATTTATACGAAGATACATTTTGCGCAAAGCTACGACTAAAAACAGTAGGGCAAATACCAAACCTTCACGGCCAAACTATTCGTTTAGGCAAGATTAAGCCAAACGCTATTAAAATTGGAACGAGTTCGTTGTTTTTGTGTGGAAAAATTCCTTGAATACGAACACCTAATTACACAAATAACCTAGAACCCAATGTTCTTTGGTATTTTTACCCGATTTTAGGGAATCTGAAAACCCCGTTTCTCAAATTGTCTGTTTATTTAGTTTCAAGTCGTATTCAAGATGGCTGTCCATAGTAAATATCGGTAATGTATTTGATAATCACGTGTACGTCAGCTGACAGTGATTGTGCTCGCAATGTATCTTTATTGTGTTACGTAATTGCTATACATTATATTACCATAGAGATTTACTCTATTGTACTTTATTGGCCCCGAATCTGCATAACGTTTTGACATTATATTATAAAGTGCTTTCGTTATCAAGCAACTATTTCGGTGCTGCAGGATTTATGGTGTAAATAAACTTAAAAATAAAACAAAATTAGTACAAATGCCCTTTTAACATTTAACATTCGTTTAGGAATCGTCCCACCATACCCGGTCGTGAATGCAGGAGAGCGCCCTCAATCACCGTATTATACATTTATTTCTCGACCCGCTCGACCATTTATATCACGCTCCTGATTTTGCTGATTGAACGCGTTAAGTAGCAATTCGCGCTAAGATTGGCTGTTTTGGGAAGAGAACGAAGTTCCGTTCGTAAGGAATGGTCGGGTGACGGGCGTATTCGCGACTGTGTAATAATTACTCGTGCTAATAGATGGACTTATTTGGCACAAACCGAATTTTAATCGTCATATTCTAACGTTTAAATAATAGTCGTTGTATTATACTCACAATTGAAGGACTAATGATAATTATTGAAATAGCGCCACCGTGCGATCATTTGATTTATGTTAAAGGGTGGTAGTCGTCGTGCCGCGTCCTGTTCGATATGAGACTCATAGCGACGTATACAACGCGTGTAAAATACATTGTTTATATCCTCGGGGCGTACATCCGGGCATCTTCACTGCCTGGCAACCCTCGCAGTGAAAACAAAGGCCAAAAACTCACAGAAAACGGTACTTTGGAATGGTTGTTGAGACTCCCCTGAACAGTGTAACAAGATTAGCCCTACTTGTGTAACATATATAAATTTGGTTGTTCAGGATT